TTCCCAGAATTCCCCAGCCAGCATGCTGGCCGGGGAATTCTGGGAATTGAAGTCCACCCATCTCAAAGCTGCCAAGGTTGAGAAATACTGGTTTAGAGGCAAATGGAAGAGAATTCAACCAGGAATTCAACCCTGCTTCCATCTAACCATGGAATAAGCATGACCAAGTAACTAGTTTTATCTGCTAAAGACATTGCCTTTATCTTTCCCTAACCTATACTCCAGCTAGCTTTAACTTATCCTTTGCTGTTCTAAGATTAAAATGGTTTTCCCCTCTTAACCACCCCACAATCTGCAGTTCTTATCCTATCCTATCCTTTTTACATAGAGTTGTCAGAATATTATCATCAATCATTTTGATAACCTTCTCCCTCTTGTGCATTGTATTGAAAACTTGTTGAGTTTTTTTTTTAATAATTTGGTGGTCTTTGGCCATAAATTAATTTAAGTTAAGGGAACAAGGAGGAAAGGGATTCTAAAACCCTGCTTAAGAAAAACATAAGCCTTGTGTTTGAACTTTAACTTATACACTCTAGATTTGGCAGCCCTGAGCATGGCGGCCAGGTTGGAGTAGAACATAAGAGGCTAATTATGCTCCATACTCTATTATGTAGGAGGATTTATTCCCTAACAGCTTTAGCCCAATCGTAACTACTCTCTTGGCTGACCTAGCTGCCTCTTCCTGTCAAAAGCTTATCTTCCTTGCTCAGCTTTGGAGAAATCCACTTGCCCCCACTGGGTCCTGCTTGCAGTTAGACAGGACACATTGGCTTACCAATCTGTTGGTGTGAAATTGGTCAACAGTGGCTCTCAGGTGCCTTGAAGTCCAGTTACCTAGCTCTGGGTTTTTTCCCATCATTTAACTTCTGATGTTTTTAATTAGCCAGCTTACAACTTCGACCAAGCGGTTTGGTAGAGAAGAGACATCATCTCTACCTGAAATGGTCTGGAGGGTTACTCAACAAACAATTGTTCATATCCATTCATTCTTGGTCTACATGTGTGGTTTCCATCCTGGTTATATGGAAGAAGCTGTGCCTTCTCCACAGGAAAACAGGAGAAGGGGTGAATTTGGTGCTGGTCTCAGAGGGAAGAGTTTGTCCATCTCACCCAAGGTGAGATTGGCCCCAACCCCACTGACCTTCTGGAAGGCCCTTAAAACCTGGTTTTGTCACCAGGCCTGGGGATCCCATGGAAGTACAGAGCCCGCAAAATGGTTGTACTCTTTGTAAGTTTTGGAATGCCTTCTCCCATGTTTTTGTTTCATTGTAGTTTTAAGTGTATTTTAATGGTTTTGGTTTTCAATTATTTTGATTGTTTGGTTTTTGCTATTTTAATTGTGTGCACTACCCAGAGTCACATATAGTATGTGAGATGGGCACCTATATAAATTTAATAAATAAATCATCTCCCAAGCACAGCAGAAATTTCATAGACACGTGGGCAGATGATTGATTGATTGATTGATTGATTGATAGACTTGTCCCCGCCCATCTCCCCACAATGGGGGACTCTGGGCAGCTTACATGATTAAAAGTTATAAAAGAACCACACTTACAGAGATAAAAAGGCTAAAAAATCCAAGAGCCCAATAGAGGCCACACCAGGCTGCTAAGGGGATAGCCAACCCCATTTCTGACATCCTCCCTCCCCGCCCCAGGCCAGATGGGCGATTCCCGATGTCCTTTCTTCATCAGAGCACTTATTTTCTTTCTGGCCATAAGTTTCCTTTTTTTGTCAACTGGGAAACACACCATGTAGACTAAGGAAGAAGGAATGAAGCAATTCATCCTGTCTTATCCAGCCTGTTGAAGGTCTCAGCTGACTGTGGAAAAAGGGATTCCACAATCCAGCCTCAATCCAATCCTTTTGTCCCCCCACCCCCCCGCCACCAGCTTCTTTACTCACCTGGATGAGTTTCTACGCATCGATTCCCCACTCAACCAAAGCAAATGAAGGATACTTAAATGCAACATTGGCCCAATGCATTTTAGACAGAGATACTGCAACGCATAGAAGAAATCAATATTCACCCGCTTGATGTTGGCTGTGTATTGTTTCATTGCAATTTTCTCCACCGTATTTTCAAAACCAAAGAACGATTTGATGTCAAGGGATGCCGATTGTTCAAAACATGTCCAGTCTTCATTCTCCGGATGAACCTACCCTCACAGAAATGGCACAGTTAGAACTATCCCAGCTGGCCATAGAAAGGAGCTTTGAAAAGAAGCTAGTTCTCAAAGGTAATCTTTACATCCTCTTTTTTTCCCATTTCCCCTCCTTTCAGGGACACTGGATATTTCTCTGAGCTTAAGGGGAGACGTATATAGTTGACAGCTAAAAGAAGAAACTCAACATATCTCAGCATATTCTCCCTATCAGGCTAGTAGTAGCATCACTCATTCAAGTTGGCTAAGGCAGAGGTAAAGAATGAGTAAAATGTTCTGCATCAAAACACGTCGTAAGAGAAAACAATGGAATTATAGCCCAGCTGAGAATGAACTCATAAAAATTAATCATAGCCCCCAAAGTGTCCCTTTTCTCACCTATCAGAAAACTAGGAGAAAACGTTCTTGCTCCATTCCATGGAACTATCCTCTTTCAGATCTCAAACAGTGGAAATGTCTATCTGAATGTACAAAGATCAAAACAATGAACCACTAAAAAAGCCACAGCAGACTCATCCCAGGACAAAACCAAGCACAATGGGGAGAGATCTGCATCTTCAAAGGCACTAAACAAGTGTAAAGAAGGCGGGAGAAGACTTCTAAGTAAAAAGTCATGGACATCAGGGTTTGCAGAACCTTCTGAAACCCTAACCGTAAATTATCCTCGCTGGCAGAAAAAATACTAGCCAGAGGAGAGAATCAACAATGTATGGATTCAGGCTATCTCTCACCTTCCATTTCTACCTGAAATCACCTCCCCTTTTTGTAGCTGTTTTCCTGACCTACATTTGCCTCTAAGGCTCTTTCCACCTTCTGGCAGACTTGAGAGAGAACCAAAGTGACAGTAGGATAGAAATATTACCGTATTCTGAAGCAACCACACATGAGCGTATGGTTCCTGGTTTCAGGAACTGACATTTTAAGGGTTGTGGTTTCAGTGGCTAAGGTCACCCAAAAAAGCAGTTATTTCCAAGCTTCTTCGCTTTCATGAAGCTGCATTTTTCAGTAGGTACCAATAAAGCATGTCAGTAACTCAATCTGGACTTTTGTTGACCAAGCATTAAAAGGTATTTTATTGCCTTTAGAGCTTCTTAAATGTCAGTCGCAGACAAAGCCATTCGCCTGCTGACCCAGAGACAGGCTTACTAACATCATGCAATTTCTAGCTAAATTATGGTGGCTTGCAGCAAATTAGATAGATAGATAGATAGATAGATAGATAGATAGATAGATAGATAGATAGATAGATAGATAGATAGGAAGTCTTGCCTTTATGACCTCCCTGAGATGGGGAACTGGGCAATTTTCCTCGACTACCCCTGATCTTTCTGATTTCCACTGCTTCAGTGGAAGATAAAGAGCTTTGTAGGATTCAATTATAAGAGGAAAGAGATGATATGATCATCTCTGTAACAATTCTTCTCCAACTCCCTATTTCCACTAATCCCAGAACCATACCAGACATCCTGGCTGTCACCTAGTATATTCTAACACTTTTTGAAGTGAAAATCACTATTGGAATTCATGCAGTATAAATGTACCCCAAGCAAAAAAAGGCAGACAGGAAGTTTAGGACTCTGTGAATTGCCTTCTGCTTATCAGAATAAGCACAGGAAGGAGGTGCTGTTTCCAAGAGAACACATTTATTCAAGGACTTCACTAAAGAGAGAAGAAAAATCAGTCTTATTTATTGCTGAAAGATACATCCCATAGGAATTGTGAAATGTTTCCAGTTTGAAGCATTCCAAATTCAAATGGGTAGTTTCGAGCGTGAATGCTGAACTCTTTGTTTCACACTCAAAACGCTCCTGAACAGATCGAAGCAGCCTGTTTCACACTCAAAACAACTGCTTCTGATTTGAGATGGCTTACATCTTCTCAGCACCCCATCCTTCAATGCAGGGTTTCTCAACCTTGTCAGCTTTAAGATGGGTGGACTTCAACTCCCAGAATTCCCCAGCTGGCTGGGGAATTCTGGGAGT